TATGTGGGCCTTCCAGACCAAAGCATGGCAAAGGCAGTGCATAACACTCTGTGTCTTTCCCTCCAAAGCTGAGCAAGGAGAACCTTTGTTCTTTCCAGATAGTATAATAACAGGGGCTTAATCTGCTCTCAGAGGGATGTACAAATATGCATGTAGTATGGCAATAAATAAACATTTATTTTATTGATTTCCTGAGATTTTAAGATTCTCATTACTGCAGTGTTTTCTGATTTATTCTGACCAATACAGTCCTGGATTAGATAAAGTATTTGAAGTGCTTAGCACAATGCTTAGGGTATAGTAAGCACTCAATAAATGCTAGCCTTTCAACTAGACACAGAAGGTTTCTCTTAAAAGGTTGAGCTTGTATCTCTGGTGTCCAGAAGGACAACGTTTTAGGCACTTCTCTTAGGGTAAGAACTCTCCTAGTCTCAGTGCAGGGAATTTATCAACCTCTATCCACACAGACTCATATGAAATGACTAGCTCCTTCTTTTATTTAAATCACTGTACGTTGACAATATTTGCTGTACCAAAGGGGCTCATGTTATTCAGCTCTACAAAGTCGCAAATAATATATATTTGAAAACAAGTGGTAGCTGATGTAAGCACCAGATGGCTCAAACATAAAATCAAGGGAGCTGCTTTTAGCTCTACCCCAGGGCTCTTAAAGCCGCCTTCTCAGTGCTCCTTTATATGTTGTAGTTTATTTCTGAAGTGACAATAAAATTGGGAACAGCAGAATGGAAAGGAGCACCACAGCCTCGGCATGTTTTAACAATCTGCTATGCATATGAGATGAAACGTTGCCATCACTAGAATCAACAACATCTTGACACATGATTCAAACGTCAAGAATATCCAAGAATGTAAGATGTCTTTGAAACAGCGACAAAAAGCTGAAGTCAAATCCAGATTGGAGCCCAATCCCTAAAAGGATCTTGTTTCCGTTTTTCTGAAAGTTGAGAAATTGATAGGGCACAGTTTTGGCCTCAGGGACTGAACCCCTAAAGGCCTCTCACTTAGTGTGAAGGTATCACAGAGGACCATTATGCCCCAAGCAGCAGGAATGTTACTGTTCAGAGAAGCCACCAGCTGTGGAAAGGCTCTCTGTGCCTGCAGACCCAGCCTCAGCCCCAGAAGAGAGGTGATGGGACTGTATTGATTATGTTTTGTTGCATAATAAATTACCCCAAACTTAGGAGCTTAAAACAGCAAACACTTATTATATCAGTTTCTGGGGTCAAGATTCTAGGTTTCATTTACCAAGGTGATTCTAGCTCAGGGCTTTTAGTTATCTGAGGTTTGATGAATCTGGAGGATTTGTTTCTAAGATCACTTGGAGTGGTTGTTGGTAGATTTCAATCTCTCACGGTGTGCGCTGTGAGCTGTCCTGAGAGCTGTTCAGCTGTCCACAACATGCCTTCTCCTAAGCTACTGATTAGAGGGGCTGGGCACTGGATGAGGCACACAAGACAGAAACTGCAGAGACTCTTTTAACCAGAGAAAAGCGGTATTTCATGACTTCTGCCACGTGTTATCTGTCAAACACACCAACTCTGATACAGTGATGTGAATACCAAGAGGGAAGAGCCATTTTGGAGGCTGGCTACCCACAGGGGAAGAACTGGCAAAGCAATGCTCTTCACTACTCTCCTCTTTAACTTTGCTGGATTAGTTTTCTAACTGTGCATGCAATCCTCACTTCTGTCTGAGACTATGTTGATATGAAAGAATATCCTATTTATTAATAGCTCATGTTTATTTTTTAAATTGTTGGACATCTTTAAGTATCTTTCTTTTTATAGTCTATTTCTGTGGTGCATGATTCTTGTTTCTATTCTTCTCCAAAAGATGTTAAAGTTGCTGAGCTGTGAGTCTGGGTTTTAGAAGACCTCTTCCCCAATAGGAAAGACACACACAGGAATAGACAAAGACTGGCAGAAAGAGCCTATTCCTTTTCCACTCCAGTGACTTTGGTAAATTGCAAAATACACGTGCTCTCATTTCTAATTAGTTATCCCCTAACAAATACTCCCCAGTCTATTGTCTCTGTCTTGTGACAAATGAACAAGTTAGAAGGACAGTACCAAACAACAAGGGAAAGGACTGTTGCTTTGAATCGGCAGTAAAATGAGGATTCAAAGAAAGAAACTTAAGAGGAGAACAGGAGAGCTATTCATAAAGGGTTTCTCCACCTCCTTTAGCTATATGAAAACATCAAAAACATCAAAACATTCTGGAAGAAGAGAAGGTTGGTGAACACAGCTGTCTACCAGTTACTATTGGCCGCAACAGTAATTTTAAGAGTGATGAGAATATCTAATATACTTCCAACCACCCTCTGGTTTTTCATGTCATTGTGGTCCATCTAAATATATGGCCTGATTGGCTAGTGACTAGAAATGATTTACAGTGGTGACAACCAATGAGACATCTCTTTATATAGGAAACTGATAGTAGGTGATGCAGATCTCAACCTATGTTGTTCTTATTCCTCAAGTCCTATAGACTTTCCCACTCAGTTATACCGAAGAACATTCCACACTTTGTAAAAACCACCTGCTTAAGTGTTAAGTGTATGGGCTTTAGAACCAGTCACTCTGGATTTCAGTTCTGGCTGTGGCACTTCCTTTCTGTGTCACCTTGTACAGGGACTCTATTTCCCTATGCTTAATCTACTCCTCTTTAATAACAATGATAATAATAGCTTTCTACTCTTCTCTGGATTATTGTCAGGATTAAAGTGTTAATGTGTTTAAATGACTTAGAATATTGACTGTTATGTGCTCAATACATATATGCTACTATCATCTCCACCTTTAAAATCCCATTTACCCTCTTCATTTCTGATAAAAATATATATTTACAGGTTATATCAATTTTTAATTCTTTTATTTTTCTATATTCCCACTAGAATGCATGGACTATCTTATTTATCTTTGTACCCCAGTGCATTGTGTAATACTTGGCACATAGTAGGTACTCAGTCAACTTTTGAATAGATGAATGTATTAATTAATTAAGAAGTGAATTGAGTGACTTTATTCCTCAGTGTCAAATTTTTATTTTATCCTCTGTTTAGTGGATGAGTATTTTTGGAAATTACTTTTGCCATGGGCATTCCTTATTTATTTAAATTAAAATAAGATTTGGTCAATTCATCTTTACACTAACTATAACCAAATGCTGGTTAAATAACTTGATAATTGATAATGACTGAAGAGCTATTGTGTCAACTTTTTAAAAAGAAATATTAAATAAGAGATTATTTTTCCTTTTCGTAGTTAACCTCTGTATGCTTATCAGACCCAGATTTCTCTCCACAGATATAGTCATTTGAACTATAGAATCATATTATTTCCAAATTGGATTACACCAGGGCTATCATATATTTAGATTGCTAATTTTGTAGGGAGGAAAATAGCAACTGATGACAAAATCGCATAGCTACTTATGATCCAAAATATAGAAATATATAGATAGATGGGAAGAGTTACAGAGAGAAATTCCATCCTTATCCACCCTAAAGTTATGCCTCAATGGGCTACTTCTCTACACACAGCCTGAGTTTTCCTCTCAGATCTGGGTTCATCCTATAGAGGAAGCTTCCAGGACCGCCCTGCTTTTGCAAGTCACTCATCAAATCCATAGGCCATGAAAATATTGGGAGTTTTGTCACAAAATTAATCATGTTCGTAAAACACCACCATCCACATACAGTTAAAAAAAAAAAGAAAAAAAGAATATGGCTAGAGAAAGAGAAACAGAGGGAGAGAGAGAAAGACAGAAACAAAGAAAGAAGATGCAGAAGGCACTGGACTATCCACAAAACTGGAATTTAAAAAGAATATTGACACACAGAAATCAGCGAAAGAGAGAGACTTCCAAAGGAATCTAATCACCTCCCAACTAGGAGAGTTCAGAGAGTATTTATTTTCTACAAAACCTATCTGGCAATTGCCATGGAAGCCAGCAAAACTCCCCAAAGATGAGGGCAGTATGTAGGTAGCCTCTACCTGATAAGCATAAAGCACCCCTTTTCCTTCTGTGGACAGATCAAAGGCAGACAAACGGTCCTGATTTTCAGCTTTTGAGCTCAGCTGAGGTTCTCTAAGTCCAGCATGGGACACTATACCCCATACTACTCCTCTTTACTAGGCTAAGGGCTTCATTGATGCAGTTCTATCTTTTTGGCAGGCTGTTTTCTCTATCATCTATCATAACACTCAGCATATAATAATTTTTCTGGCATGTACTAATGAATAAGCTGCATCAGATGGAGCCAGCAGCCAATGAGCTGCTAAAGCAGGAGAACTGACCTGGTAGTAAAGAAACGTGAATTGCGATCTCAAACTCATCCCACCTGATTTTGTGGCAGCCAACATGACATTTTCTGTCTCTTGATTCTTTGCTCCACTTTTTGGAAGAGGAAACAGTCCTAAAGAGGTTAGATAACTTGCTCAAGATTGCAGAGTTAATGATCACAGGACCAGGATCGATTCCCAAGTCTCTATTATTTCCACAGTACTCTGCTGTGTTTTTATAAAGTGAATTGAATCAAAGTGGAATTATAAAATATTCTTATTGGTACCATCCCAACCATAGCTACTCAGACTCCCTCTTATCCACTTCCCCCACAATTTCCCATCCTAAGCTATCATTGGACAGAAGATAATAATAATTGTAATGCGTAATATATAACGTGTGTAATCTATTCAAGTTATATTAATAATGACTTCTAACTTTTTAAATGTCTATTATGTACCAGGAACCATAAGATCTTTACCAAAATTGGTTAATTTTCACAATCACCTTATGAGACATTATTATTTTTCCTGTTTTACAGCTGAGTAAACTGAAGCCCAGAGAAGGCATTTAATTTACCCAACTTTACCACTGAGAGATAAAATAGGAAGATATTATTTTCTCCATTTTTCCTGGTGACAAAGTAGGACTCAAAGTATTTGTGACTTGACCAACAAAGTCAGTTGGCAGTTTTTTGGCTCCTAACATAGATTTTTTTTTCTATTATCCTTTCCTCTAGACCCATTGGATACAAAACTTTTGTTAATTTAGCACAAATTATACTATTTAAATGATCTAGATAAATGAACATTAAGAAAATATCACTTAAAATATATAAGATTTCAGCAAATAGCAGGAACATTTAGTGACCAGGAAGGGAAGGAAAGCCTACAAGTTGCAGGAAGCTTGAGGAGTTACCACGTTTGGCAAGTCAATAATAGCTAGACAAGATTGGTTTCTGATAGTTGCCTTGATGAATGTATCTTTCTCAAACACAGATGCAGGGAACAGAGGAAGTCAAACAACAAAAAAATAGTGTTTAAAAAAACTGCTTTGGCTTTATGTAAGGCCTAAAACCTCATATACTTTTAATGGCTAAGCATTCTATCCAACTTAACCACCCGGTGCTATTTTCTGGATTCATTTCCCAAGAGTTTAATTTGTGTGCATAAGAAAAATTTCCTTCACTGAAGTATATAATTTGGGGTAAGAATCAGTTATAACTGATATTTTGCTCAAATTTATAAACTTAAATTGTTTCTGGGACTATAAAAGGTCTTGATATTAATAGCATCTACTAGAATATTCAGACCAAGCAAAATCTGGATGCATTGAGCTTGATACCAGTTTGTTCTCTAAAATCAAACTTGACTGAAATCATGTGTATTTCTTTTATGTATGTACAGTAGATTGTGCAATTAGGGCACATTTATGTCCAGCTCATTATGCCTTCCTGCATTGTCTTTCCTTTCTGTGTGATAATGAATCGTTTTGTAATTAAATAGCAGGAGAAGAAAATATGCAATAATTATGATATAGTCCGGGCAGCAAGTATCTTGGTAAGACTCTACTATTTTAATTTGCATGATAGGAACTGGTTTAATCCTGCCTTAATTTTTTAAAGAGTTTTTATATATGCAGATCAAGCAGAAACTCTTATTTGGACTTAGTAATAGAGCTCCTGTCAGCTTAGAATCATATTTAAACTAGAACATTCAGATATTTGGTTGAAGTGAGTCAGTACTCTCTATGTTCCAGCAGGAGGTTGGAGGCTGTTGCATGTGCATGACATGGATGTATGTACAAATGACCACCCCAAAACATAAGCATATGAGCAGATGCATCAACATACATATATGCAATTATATACATGTTCTTTCATTCATTTAGTAAATATTCATTTAGTATTAATATCTGATATCTGTCCAGTGTTCCAGACATGTAGGTATAATAGCAAAACAGGAAAAGTTCCTGACTTTTTGAAGCTTACTTACATTCTAGTGAGAAAGAATAAAATAAACAAAAATGTTTATAATGTCATATATATTCATACCACACACAGACACATATATGTACATATGTGAATATACTCACCTTTCATTCCACTCTATATGTACATACACAGTTGCACCTGTTCAGGTCAGTTTAAAAGAGTGGAACATTTTTCCAAAGTTAAATGTGCTCTAGAATTGGTTGGGTCAGGCTGTGGCACCAAGAAAAATTGCTTGTGGAGTCCTTGATCTTTGGTCACTCACTCTCATTGTATCATGGAATTGTGAGGACTAAATGTTATCACAAAAGTGAAATTATGATACCATCTATCCTGGCATATTACTCAAAAGACTTGACATTCTTTGATTGTCATATTTAGGGTAATGTAATTGGGTTAGAGCACTGCAAAGGTTTTCTTCTTCTTCACTGTCACTAGATTGGGAGCGAAAACAGGCTTCTAATTTGCTCCCTGCAGTTTACTGGCTGTATGATTTGGGCACATCACTGTATCTGCTGGGGCCTCATTTTCCTCCTCTGTAAGATGAACTGGTAGAATCAGAATAGCCTCTAAAATTTCTTCAGGCTGTAATACCCTTTGCCTCTGACTGGAATCATTCACCTTGGTATCTCACTGTTCAGAGAGCATATAACATCATGCCCTCTCTACATCTCATATTCTCAAGAACATTACCCTGTACAGAATATGCTATAGCCAAACTTGTCAACAGACTCGCACCAGCAAAGAATCCATCTGACTTCCCTTCTGTTGTTGTCTGTCACCAGCCTGGACAAAGCATATGATTCAAATATGGAAACTAAGGTTTAGTGTGACAGTTCTCAGAAAGGTTTTTCCCAACACCATGACCATGAGAGATTCCCCCTGCTACATGCTCCTGAATTACCCTGGGCTTATTTTCTGCAGTTCTTACCACAGTGTCAATTATGTAATTATTGTGCTGTTTTTATTTATTGCCAGTCTCCCTTACTGTACATTTTATAGGAAACAGAATTTGTCTTATTTTGCCACTGTATCAACAACACCTAAAATAGTGTCAGGAAAATAGAACATACTCAAAGGTTGTGTTTAAAAAGAAATGAATAACTCCAAAATAATCTGATTTCTCAGTGTGGCAATGATCAGGCAGCTCTTCTGTAGGAAAGCTTCCCTGGTCACCCTTCATGGCTTTGCCCTTGGCCTTTGGTATTTTTCCTTAACAGAGCCAATAGTGCAGCTGCTCCTTGGCAGGCCTGTTTTCCTGCTAGCATTTGTTTCCCAGAAAGCTGTATCATTGCCACATAGCTTCAAATAGATCACTGGGACAACCACAGTATCACACATTCTGCCAGCCTGTTCTGTTCCTGCTGTTCCATGTTGACTCTGTCCTTACAGATTCTGGCTCACAGAAATTGCCTGTGAGTACAATTCTCTTCAGTGCTTATAGTGTGTATCTTATAGCATCCTTTCTTTGAGAGTTTGCCATTGTGTGCCATTTCACACTGGTCAACAGGTGGACTCAATTTATATATCTCCAGAACGTAAAGCTAAGATGGCAGAGACATTTGTCCCAACCTCATGCTGCCTTTTTATTAGTAGTTTCCAGCTTCTTTATTATGCAGTCATTTACAAATATACTGCTGAACTAGGGCCTGTGGATGGCTAAGGATTAAGAGCCATCTTCCATGATACCAGATCTAGATAATAGAGGAAAGATAAAAATTCCAGTCCCGGTGCTAGGCATCTCAGCTTGTTTATTCACCTTAAAAAACCACCTTACCTATGATCAATGGGTGCAAAAAAAAAAAAAATCTCACAGCTAGCTTATAGAAGATACTTGCATCTAAGTCTGTCTGATTCTAAACATATGAATGACATTCCTCCCATGAATAAGTCTTAGTGATAGTGTTGATTTGAATTTGCCACATCCCTTTTAGCTCCAATGTGTCAAACTGGTGAGTAATGTGCTAATTCAGTAGAATGAGTATCACAAAGCAGCTGGTCATTTGCCAACTTCTTGGATATCTCTCAAAACTCCAGCCAAAAAAAAAAAAAAACCAAAAACTAAAAGCCATTCCTCTGTATAGTCATATGTGGGAAAGAGTTGGAGAGAGCCACAGGTCATAATTTTCACTCCTTGGAAGTAATTAGGATTCTGTAGGTTAAAACCAATAAACAGTCCAAACAGTTAATTGCCAGGTGTCTTGTAGGTTCTGTATTTATTCTCATGGCATCAATACAATGGGCTTTTATAAATATGCCAGTGGTTAATACCTTTCTTTTGAATTTTTGTTGTATCTTTAACCATATTCCTTTTGTTGTCATTTATATTCTAATTTTTATTAGAGAGGAAATCAAGTGTGTTTGCTGAAAGATCAGACTTTTATTCTTCTGTGATATTGGGAGGAATGTTTCAGAAACAGCGCCACTCTCTAGTCAGATCCTTTCCAGATATTAGTGTCTATACAATGATGAAAGTCCTCTTTGGTCTCAGAGTGCTATATAAAATAGTCACTGAAACCCGAAGTTCTTCCATGGCCTTTTGATTCAATGTTCTATTTACAGAAAATTGGTAGTTCACCTATGAGTCTGGGAAGAACATTTAAATAAATTGTAATTCATAGCATAGACCAAAATTCTTCTAAAATTTTTCCCTCAAATCCCATACAATAGGGAAATATACTGGGGCAACTTTGAATATAAGTCTAGAAAGTTATTTTATTAATATTATTAAACATATGCATGCACAATTAGTTATTAGTGTTCCTTTGTTGCTATAGTTTTCCTCACTCAAAATAGAACTGGCTTTTGGTTAAGTGAGAGGATGTTTACGATATTCAAAGAATATTACAAATTTGACCTAGATTAAATATGTCAATATTTACACTGCATCAGGATATTTACCCAGATGATAATAAATTTGTATCTTTTCTTAGTTTTGACATAAGGCTTTATTTCAAATGGATACTGGAGATACAGATATATAGAAATACTTATAAGAATACTCTAATTCTTACCCCTCTGCAAATCTTCCTTTAGTCTATCACATACACAAATCTACTCAAACACCTGCAAACAGTTGCTGCATGTAGGCACAAAAGCTTCTACAAAACACATGCAGTCTGTCTTGTACACTTGTAAATTATAGTGAAATGTTGGTGGTTGAGAGTAGCTCATGTTAACCTGTAGGCTTTCCTTTGTAAACATTTGGAAATTTTTTTGCAATCTTTAATTAATATAAATGGTTTTCTTGAAGAAAAAGATATTTATTTTTAAGGTTAAATTATATGATAGTCACTTATAATGGCATTAAATATTGATAGTGGTATAATGGTTTTAAAGTAACTTATAATTTCAATTAAAAAATAAGGTAACATTTATAGAGTGATGGCTACTTGCCAGGTAGTCACTGTGCTAACTAATTTGTATGCATTATCACTTTTACTCTCATATAGTTGAGTGGCAGTTATAGTCCTTATCTCCATTTTATAAATGTACAAACTTAGATAAAGTGAGTAACTTCTAAGTATCGGCACCAAGATGTGATCCTGCGTAAGTTTCCTCTGGAATCTCTATTATTAACCACTGTGTTAAACCATCCTTTAAACAACAACTATAACACAGAGATGTATGTGGACCAACTATTATAATATCTTAACTTATATATCAGAAAAGTAAAATCTAGAGATTGGGTTAGAGTCACATGCCTAAGGTTACCAGATGGGATAGAATCTAAGCCTCTGCCTGTCAAGACAGTGCTGTTTGTACAAGGCAGTAATACCTTTTGGCCTCTGATGTCAGCTATAACCATATGACTTTACATAGATCATGCATTTCTTCTCCTTGGGGCAAAAGTGTGATTCCTAAATTATACACTATACACAAAGTCTCTGCTATTCCAGTGCTCTAAGAGGCTTGACATATACTTTATGGACCTTCCCATAAAGGTGAAAAGTAAGGATCACCTTTTTTGCCTTCTGTATCTGACTTAGCTCACCTTGTCTGTCTTCTGCAGCTCTGTCAGCCCTAACCTTGGTCATTCCAGGGCAATGTCCTCTTCATTCTACCGTAAAAATGACATTGCTTCCACTCCATAATGATTGGGAGTCAGAGCTTTCAGGTGAAACCATGGCAACCAAAAGGATTAATTTCTGCCGTGTCTCAATAGCACAATCATATTATCTCTCAACAGTCTAAAAGATAACTCACACACATCTCCGCTGTATAATAACATAAAGATAAAATAACAACCTGGAAACCAAATGTAACCTTCCCAAATACATAGAAATGAAGGGATTTGATACTGGACAATTCTAAGAATATACTGTGTGTGCAGAGTTATAAAACAATAATTAATGCAGTCTTTAGAAAGGGCCATTACAAATGGTTCCTTCTCATAACGCAGTTTCCTCAATACCTTGTTTTAATAGAATTTCATTCTGTCCTGGCCAAAATTACAATTACTAAAGAAGTAAAATCTTGTTTTACATGATACCTCCTTTTCCACATAACTGGTGAAAATGTCTGTCGTGGTGAACTTCTCTTCACCTCTGTTTTATGTACAATTAAAACTATCCTTTTGCTAAGGCCATTCCCCACAGGAATGCGATAGCCCACAATGATGTATTCTGCCATTAACTCTGGAGTGCTCACTCGATTCTCCACATAATAAGACACACAGGAGAGTCTCACTGAGGACCTTTACTGTCACTCATCAGGAAAACCCACTTGGCACCTCATGAAGAATATTTCAGTGCTCACAGGTTGATGACTAAGACGGCAGAACAGCAGCTCAAATCTGATCCATGTGAAAACAACAAAGTTCTTGAAAGCTAAGCAATCTCTGGTTAAAACACTGTGTTAACAGAGTAGGGATTTACAAGTTCAAGATTCTTATTTAACTGTGTAATTCTGTTATGATAACATCTTCTGAACTATTAAGAATTGTCCCTCCATAGTGTCAAGTCTTATATGGAAGTAAACAGCTGCCTTTGTTGTTGGCTTGGAACATGAGAACAAGATTAAAAAATCGTGTGTGTGAACCCTTTTTTCCATGCAAAATCTATCACTATACAAGTCTCCAGGAATTAGCATTAATTGAATTTGCCTCTCTTCCAGTTTTGGTGACAGAAGCCACTCACTTACTAGATACCTCTAATAAAAAGACCCTGTTATTTGGGAAAGCTACCAGTAGTGAAGAGTTGTAAGATCCCTTGCAAAGGAATGTCTCATTTAGGTAATTATAGATACAATGAAAGTGAATAGGGAATTTCTTCTAAAAGGTGAGCTAATGGAATGCTAATACATCCTAGCATAGTATCTCCCCCATCTCTACTCCTTATTAGCCATGTGACTATGAACAAAATATTAAACCTCTATGTGTTCCATTATCTCATTTGTCAAAGGGGAATTAATAATGGTATCTACTTCATAGAGTTGTTGGGAGTAGAAAATGAGTTAATATATGTAAAACATTTAGTTCTGTTTCTGGTACATAGTAAGAGTTTGCTAATTTCCACAATTCTAATTAATATAGCAGTAATAATTACTGTTGTTATAATAGCTGTTCAATAAGTAGTCTCTGAAATATTGAATCAATGATCTCTGAACAGTATAAAGAAATCTATAGCAGATTTACTTTGTTCAGTTTCAACCATTATTCAGACTCTATTTTCTAAGTAATAAAATATCATTTTCTTTAAAAAAAACAGTTATATTGAGCTAGCATGATCATTCTGATGTGTTTAGAGATATAAGGGGGGCAAAGTTAGTTATTTTCCAGCAACCAATATGACTCCTAAATAATTACCGTAAAACATAGTATGTTCGCCATTTATTAATTGGAAAAAAACAATGTCTATATTCTAGGTAAAATTTTGTTATTTATGTAGTTTCCTCCATTCATACGATCCTCCATCTTTGCATATACTGGTATGGTTAAATTCTCCCTTAATTCTAACACTCTACTGAATTTTCTCTTCATTGAATCAGATAAAATATTTTTTCATTCACTTCTGTAAGTAATAAAAAAAAAAAAACTACTACTGATATTCTCACTGGGTTGTTTATATAAAATACAGTGTCTTTATTCCTCCCAACAACCCTACAAAGTAGGAGCTATTATCTACTGATAAATGAAGACACTGGAGATTGGAGAGGTTCATAAATCTGATCCATGTTTTATGAAGATCCTTTCTAACTCACCAAACCATCTCATATCAAGGAATCTAGCTGACTGTCATTATCCACCACCTTCAGTGCCAGCTTTTCCCAGTCTCAGTGTTGTGATCTCACTCTGGTTTCTTTTCTGCTTCCTGTCTATATAGCTCTGTGTGTGACCCCCTAGTTTTTTATGATCTGAATCTTCAACTCAACCAACTTCACTATTCCCAATTCATATTTTACATCATTAGGGATTCTGCTTTATCTTGGCTTATGTGGGAAAAGAAAACACCTTATATTGACTGTGAAGCTAAAATTATGGAGTAGGTCCTGTGTCTAACATATTTTTTTCATGCACTAAATGCTGGTATTCTTTTAAAAGGCTTTATATGAGACAATGTGGCTTTACATAAGCAATTTAGCTGTACATAAGCAAGCACAATGAAGAGCTTGGTTCAATGGGATAGCTATTTGTTTCTACCATCCTTTCACTGAGATGAAGTTGTAGTTGTATGCCACCCATCGTTTAGAATGGGTTCTCAAATCAGCATTAGACAGTCACAACAATGGAAGCCAAACAGTTGACGAAATTGAAGTTCAAATGTCCAAATTATTGAACATAGAAAACTCTGTCCACTGTCCCACTAAAATGAATAAATATTCTGATTAAGCTTCTACATTCAAGCCATTTTATGCTTTCCTTTCTCTTTTTAAATTTTAAACCCTTTTATTTTATTGACATTTTAAGCATATTGAGATTTATTATGTAGAATGAATAACTTGAACATAAATTTTAATTATTTTGAAGGAGCATTTTTTTAATTTAAAAGCATAATAGTCATAATAAGAGATTATTGCCAGCATACCAAAAGAGTGTCCATTAAAGCATCATTGTTCTGATATAATTTTTATTCTAAAATTTTGTTATTTTTTTATAAATAATGGAATTTTGAGATAAGAATTGAAGTCCCTAATATTTTAAACCCTATATTATATGGTCTATAAGCTTCACAAGGCCAACCATTTTTAACTGTTTTATTAGCAACTATAATCTCAGCACCTAGAATATTGTTTAACACATATAAAGAACTTAAATATTAATTGTGAATATATTCATTCTTATCCTTGGACATGGAAAATAGGAAAATTCTCACGTTTTTAAGCAATCTAATGCTGACTTGCTTTAGAAAGGTTCCACTTCTCATTAACACAGAATCACACTGCCTGATGGATGACTGGACTCTTGAATTTTTAATTATAGATTGTTATGGAACTAATTCTCTTGCCATTTGAGAGCGTCTCTCTTCAAAAGTATATTCTCCCATCCCAGATCTGTTGTAACCTAGGCCATGATCCTTGTCAGCCATCCTGAACATTTTGCATGGTCCGTTGGCCCAGACATGTCTGAAAAGGGCCAAAAGAATTGGCTCTTCAGATTGGGGCACCTACAGACTTTAGTCCGCCACAAAAATGATCCCAGTAATGTTGTTTGGAATGGTCATTTTTTAACTGATGGTAAACTAGTGTTTCATTATTCAAACCAATAGCTAACCTAAAAGGGAGGGCATGTGAGTGAGTTCACTGTTCAGTGGTATTGGTAATTGCCACTGCCTTATCAGTAAAGGAGCAAGAGTCCCAAAAAGCTTGGCAGATTTTTGTTAAGGTGTTTTTCTGTTTTGTTTTGTTTGTTTGTTTTATGTTTTTTGCTTTGCAACATCTCTTGAATGTCAGGGGAACATAGCTGAGCAAAGGAGTTTCCCAGAAACAAGATTTTGCATGAAGATCTCTGTATTTACCTTTCACAGCCACACTCACTGTGCTAAGTTTTAAACGTCTTGTCTGGTTTTCTTACTATTATAGAATTTTCTTATCAACTAGGTTGAAGAGTGGATTACCACTGTGAAATAAGGGCTGAATTAAGTCTCTCAGGCCACTACTTTATTAGAGTTCTTCAAAAATGCAATGTTTTTCTGATATTTGCATTCTCTCTCATTAAAAATTGTCCATATCCTTTAGGATTGCCAATGTTGGTATTTAATCTTTGTATTCCAGGCTATTTTATTATCACTATCATTTAATGCTTGAAAAAAAAAAATAGTTCTATGAACAAGATAAGTTAAAATGGAAATCTTAAATAAAAGCATATACATGATTTAAAATGCCATAGAATTTATTTGTTAGATACTTGCTGGAAAATTATACTGATATGCTACTGACACAATTATCCTTTAATTATGTCTGAGATATAGCCAGCAGTGCCTTGCAGACACACAAATATATTACAGGTAATTCAAAATATACATGTTTTTTGTATGTGTGCAAGATATATAGGGGTGTGTGTGTGTTTACTTTTTACAGAGAAATATAATTGGTCATCTAAGTGGCCAAGTTCTGTAGGTATGTTCATAAAATATAAAATTTTATCTTTAAAAAGACAGCTGGGGACAATTTGAATTTTATCCATGATTTTTATCTTTAGTAGATATTAAGAAAGAACACTTAATTGAATGACTTTATAGGGACTAACATTAACTCTCTCAGAAGAAGGCATTCTACATGTAGGATTTAATATTTTACTAGAAGGAAAACTTGTAAACAGTTGCTTGAGAACTCTAAGGGCACGTCCCTAACCTTAGCACAGCATAACTTGACGCTATAGAGTAGGATGGGGAAATGACTCCTAAATGTTAGCTCAGAATGAAAGATAGCCTAATACCAGACATTGATGGGGTGTTGTATAAGCCTCAGAAATTGGATTTTGGTCAATTGTTTCCATGGCCAGGGAACTCTTCAAATCAAAGACTGTCTGTGTATATGTTGCATGACTGTTGATTGTCTCATGAGTGTTTGTCTTTTATGTATGATTAATACACAAAATGTTTTTTTTTTCTTTCCTTTTCCCTTTTTGTAGAAATTATTGAGCCTACTACCTCTAGTCCTGTCACAAGTCCAGGTCAGTATCCACATACATTCACAAAGTATGTTTGGGTACTTTTTCCATTAAACAAGACCTTCACATCATCATAAAAATAAACTGAGTTGATTATGGGCCGTATGCTCACGGCACTGCTTTAATGTCTGTTTCTTGTCCTCGTCTATCTGTGGTGTGTCCTCCCTTTGGATTTTGTGATCTGACCCTGATTTGAAGTTAACATCTTTGACTTCCTTCTGTGGGATGTATGGAGTAAATATATGTCACATTGTAGAATAGCTGCAAGGTGATTAGCTTCTCCAATACCTTTGCAAACAGAGCTGTAGAGAGTTTACAAGGTTTTCTGAGTAGCTATTAAAAAACGATTTGCTTTGGCTTGGTATTACATTATTATAAAATCATTATGAAGCAAGAGGCATTTAGTGCTTTTAAAGGGAACAATAGCTAGGGGAAAGCCTATACTTTTACTCTTGCAATATTATAGTCGGAGATTTTGGTCTCTTGAAACTGTCAAGTCAGAGGACTTATTTCAGTTGTTGAGCTTTATTTTCAGATTGTTCTTAATTCAACCACAAATACTCAGTCTGAAAAGATAGGACATTGCTATAAGTGTTTTTCTAAAAGTTGTTTTCAACTGTGAACATTTCTGAGTGACATGAAATCGAGATAAAAGCTATTGATATTAGAAACAACCTTTATCTTGTTATATAGGAATTTAGCAGTTCATTTTGAATGTTGGCTGCTGGCTATTTAAAGAAGAAAGTGGAACTGCTAAAGTTATTTAGCTTTGAAAAGTTCACAGGGATTTCTTGTAACTGCTGAGTTAAAGGATTTGTTGATGCTGCCTACCCATAAGGAGGTATAAGTTAGTTAAATAGTTGTTTCTCCTCTCATTCCAGAAATGGCACTAAATTTTAGTCTAAAACAGGATTTGCTGATCTGAGAAACTGAGTGTTTTAGAAATGAAAAAAAAAAAAAAAAACCTCTATCTCAAATTGTAATCAATCAAAAATGCTTTAAATTGCTTTAGATGATTATGAATTATCCCCACCCCCAAAATGAAACAAGTTTGAGCAAGTCTATGATTATGTATTTAAAGAATCTCATAATATAAAACTTTCTGGTCAAATTATAGAACACTTTTTCATAACCTTTCAAACCAAAGCATAATTGAGCAGTCTGTTTTAAATTATTTTATAGTTGATGCATAGAAGGTTTAAGTTATATGACTAATAACAGTTTCCTATTTTACAGATGAGGTTAATAGCCTCTCAAGTTTGAGTGTTATATTAATATAATTAGAACTAATAGTCATCTGAATCTTATTTATCTCTTATAAAGACTTAATAGATATGATTTCTTTGAATACCTATGACCTCCACAGAGTAATATATTCTCAGGTTCATAGGAGACTTAGAGTTAATCTTGTTAGTAAACTTTTTGATCTACTTTTGTCCATCACTTGTAAAGAGGATATCAAGTAACTTCCATGCAGGTATATCACCTAGTGGGCTGAAGTGAAGATTGGATGAGTACTTTCTTTCTTATGCCATTGCCCTAATTATTGGATAAAATCCTCATAAATTAAAAGGATAGAGTACCTTCTTTATCCACTCAAATAGAGAAAACTGTAAAGCAAAATATTTTAAGAAGTGATGTCTGGTGGCACTCAGTAGCGTCCTATTTGCTGACTTCATGTTTTTGCAAAAAGTTTTATTGAAGGTAAGTATAACAAGATTCTTTTTCAGTAGGCCAATTGTATCAAAAGCTCTTTCAATGGTTGGGACCCTGACAAAGAAATTCACATGTCATAGTGCAAAGAAATTGCTTTTACCTTTATAAAGATTTGTATGTCTTCAAACATGTATAGCATAAGGGTTAAGAACATAGACTTGGAAGACAACTGCCTAAGTTTGAATCCAAATTCTATTACCTTTCAGCTATGTAAACTGCATCATGCAACTTAAACTCTCTCTGACTCAGATTGTTCATTTGTAAAATGGAGTAGAGGTGCAATAATGATAGTATGTACTTAACGTAGAGTTAATATGAAAATTGAGTAAGTCAACATTGGTAAAGTACCTATAAGAGTGCCTACTATACAGTAAGTATGATAAAAGCATAGGATAAACGTGGGTGAAAAATACACACACACACACATATACACGTATATATCCTTATGATATCCAGATATAGAAAAAGTTTAATGACTTGCTTAAAGGCAAGAATTTGGACTATATAGTAGTCCCTTAAGTACTATGAGACCTAATAATTGTTGCTACTGCCCATAGAATGCCTAAGCAATAGCCATTATGACACCAAATTGGTCAATTTTTTGCTAGGGTTTATTATTTTGAAACTATGAATACATGAATGCATAAAAAGTAGTTTAAAATTGAATTCCTTAGCACTATATCTTTGAAAAAGATATTGTAAACTTTTTAAACAAAAAATTATTGTAGGAAAAGTCAATAAATATGTGTTGAATTGAATTGAAAAATGGGAAAGCAAACTCAGCTATAGATGAAACCCACCCTTCATTAATTGTGAATTTGTGAAAGGCCTCGAGGGAACAGTTTGGTTAGGCAGGGATTTAAAGAGTATGTGGTTATAGCAGGATTGAAAAAATGGGATAAATGATAAACAAAAGCTTTTAAACATATAAGCAGTCTGCTGAGTGAGATACAAAGGAGAAGGATTTAGCAATATATAACTCAAAGCAAAAGATCATTAAAGGCAGGTAGGAAAATAATTTACCCTATGAATAAAATCAAACTGCTAAAAAGTTCCAGTTGTTTCAAATGAAGCTGTAAAAAACATTATCCAAATAACAATAGTAAATGAAAATTCTCACCAAAGTATTCAGGAGATAAGAAATATCAGATTTGCAAACTATCCCATTTGCTGCTTCTACATAAGTGGAAAAAGAGAATCTCATATTTCCTAATATTACTGCCAGAGAGTTAAAGCATAAAGTGGTTATAGTTATGAAAATATTGGACACACTGAAAATAGATTGGAGAAAGTGAATTTATATCATTTATGTCCATAAGTTCTAAAGAAATGAAGGTCTTGAAGTCATAACTTATATTTTTATATATTCTTGACAAGTCGGAATCTGTTTCAAATGAAAGGAATGAAAATTGAATTATTAACATCATTATTCAAGAAAAGGCCATGAAATATAGTATGTAATAAGAACAAAAGAAAACTATTCTTTGATCAGTCTCAGTCTCAGTTTGAAAGGTAAGGGTCATTTTTCATGATGAATGAGATATGCAGTGAATTTGGAAATATAGACTATTTTTACTGTAATTGCTCTGCTAGACCATAAGTTATTCTGGGTAATGGTCATCAAGATAAAAATGCCTACCATTAAGCCAATAATGCCAGCATCCTATTAAGCTACCTAAACCATTTCCATTTAATTAAAAAATATATAACTTTTTGTGATCATCTTTGAAGTGTATTTTAATACTAATATTGGAATTTTATTTTATAAGAGTAGAATGGAGGCCTGAGAGAGTAGAAAGCCTGTCTACTTTGAATAAGACAAACTATTAGTCCTGAAATTTTCTATTTGTTTGCTAGTGCAGCTTGTCTGAATATATTACAACAAGTATGCTCTACTGTGACCTCGATTCCAACAGATCAAAGCTGAACTTCTTACTTTAGAATGAATTGACAATGGTACCATAATTCTGGTTTTGTATTCCAAGGTTATAATTATCTACAAAGCATCAAGGTGATCTTATAAAAAGTTAAAATTTTAGTCAAACCAATCAATATTCACTTGGCTTCATATAGATTCAGAAAATTTAATAAATATTAATTCAGTCAATCTTTTTTAAGTCTATAGGCAGATTAAAATTGAGGTTTGTTTAATGCACCCTGGATACCCCACCTAGCATTTGTCCTTACTTTGTCCCTAGAAGTAATCTTTAACAGTTATCAACTGAAAATTTTTATTCTGAAAATTATTTATTTTTCAACTTCATATTATTGGTGTACTAAAAGTAGCTTTATTTATACATCTTTACACAAATGGGGAAGTAGTTTAAGAATATTATTTTTCCTATCTAATATTAAACCAAGAAAGTCAATGTAGACCCTTCAGTTGGACTCAGAAATCTTCACTATTTAAGTGCCTATTATTAAGCACACTGTATTTATGGGTATTTTAACATCATTTTTAAATCCATGAAACAATCCTAGGTCCCATTGATAGCCAAGGAAAAAAACAAAACAATTATTTTACCAAAGGTCACTCAGCAAGTATATGACTAAACCAAAATTAAAATGCCTAGAACTTTGTCATCAAATATGTATGCCTCGCTTTGCTTTGAACAACAGTATTAAAAAAAAAAAACCCTGCAGAATTGAATGTTTATAAACTGAATCATTTAAATTCACCAGAAGACACCATGTTATGTAAAGAAATTCCACTTTAAATTGAATAATTCCTAACTGATTCATTTACTTAGCAAATAATTTTTCACTTTGCTAGTTTACTGGCTTTTGTTTAAAAAAAAAGTCTTTATTTGACTTACCGCAGGAAGCCCCATTTCCCATTTCCTCTGAAGGATATAGTTCATCATTTAGCAAACATTTATTGAATAACAACTATATCAGGCACTGAGTGCTGGGAGCATAGGTTATTATCTTAAAGAGGTTTATAATCTATTAAAAAGAGAAGCATATGTATGGCTAACAATTATTTAATTTATGTTTAATTTAATTATATTCTATAATTTTAGTCTAAAGAAAGAAGCAGGCAATTTTGCCTGGAGGAAATGTTTGCATATGTGAACAGGGTCTTCATAGATTAGGCATAGTTAGCAAGAAATGGGAGTACCTTAGCAAACAAAGGAAATGCTTAAACAATCAGAGGTAGAAAGTATAGAAGACTGAGGATAAAAACTGATTTGATTTCTGTATCTGTATTATCTAATACAATGCCTGGTACGTAGCAGATCTTCCACATATGCCAGATGATGTCAACAAAAATACTGAGACACTTAATAAAAAGTTTGAATGAAAAAAAAAAAAGAAAAAGAAACACACACAAAATTTTGGAGGCAACTAGCTACATAATTTTCTTTGGTTTACATTAGATAGTATCTAAATTTTGTCATTTTATAAACTCATCTCAAAAGGAGAAGATACAATAAAAACAAAACAATTGAACCAAAACTCATGCTCTTACATTGGTTTATGGATAATAGAAATTCCTAAAAATATTTTTATGCTAGCATTTCTTATGGTAATTGATAAGGGACATTAAACTAGTTTTATAAATTACATCACCAACTTCTATTCCAGAAAAAAATGTCCAGTTGTCAAGAGGTTAATCTTTCCTCAATAAATGAATGAATGAATGATTTAGAAAACCACATGTAGTCCACAGCATTAGAGCATTAGAAGACTCTCATAGGTAGCAGTAGTGTGCTTCAGTAAAACTCATTCAGGAATAGTGAGGAGTGAAAATAATCAAAAATAAAATAATTACATAATAGCAAGAAGGTTGGGCAATCTATTCATTTCTTTACTAAACAAAAAAATTTAAAAACCTCAATGACTAGATCAAATGTACCTACCTGGCTACCTATGGATGGATGAATGGATGGATGGATGAATAGGTGAATGGACAGGTGGATGAACAGATGGAAAACTTGTATGTGGTTCATAGGGCTAGAGCATTAGAAAAGTAGGAAGTTGATGGGAGTTGAAAGTAGTGCAGCTTGTGTAGTTTCTATTTCCCAAGAACTTACTGAGCATCTGAATGTGATTGGCCCGTTGCCTTTCTTTATGAATCTCACATTTCAATGAATGAGAGAGACATGAAAACAAACAGATTAACATAATGCAATATGTTCTATGATAGAAATATGTGTAATGCACTCTGGGAACTCTGATAACAGCCTAAAGAATATTAGAAAAGGCTTTCTGAAGGAAATGATTCCTGAATTTGGTAGTTTAAGCATGGGAGTAAAGGGGCAAAGCCACTGTAGATAAGGGATCCACATGAGCAAAAGAAAAGAGATACAAAACAGCACAGTGTGTTTGAAAGAAACTACAAATAATTTCTAGAGTGTAAATTGAGCAGAGAGTACAGTGGGGCTGGGAAAGTAGACTGTTCCTTGCTTGGAAGCTTTGTCTATTTATCCTTAGGCATAGGTGGATTATTAGGCTTCCTATGTAACTCTGAGGGTTAGGGTGAAGAATTAATTGATATGAGTAGAACTGGTAGTAGAAAAGGTTATTGTATAATACCAGGAAAATGATGATGAGAAGCTGACATGGGACAGTGGTAGTAGGAGGGAGGGAATGGGACCAATTCAAAAATTACTTAGAAAGTAAATGATAACAGGGCTTGCTTGCTGATTAGATTCAGAGGACAGGGAGAGGATGAAACAAGGATAACTCCCACTCTCTCTGTAGATGGTAGGGTACCAGCGGAGATAGGGAAAATACTAATACCTTGAATTTCATGCCAAATGGTTTGGACTTTATCCTGTTGTTTTAAAAAGGATCCAGCGTTTTGTTTTATTTCAAACAGGGGAATACTATTATTGTGTGTGTTTTGCAACTATAATTCTGTGAAAGTAAGAAAATTCAGAATGAAGGTGAGGAGGCATCAAGCAAAACCTATGAAAGTACAGTCCCTAGTTATAAGTTACTTGCCATCTCTTAGGAAAATGACTACCTGAGAACAAAAATCTCTCTACAAGCTGGATAATGAGTTCCTACAAAATAAATATCAAACTTATGGTATTATTTCAAAATTTATTTTAAGGTTTGAGGGGCTTTTTCCCCTAATTTGAAACAATCAAGCTTCTATTATTTTCTGATTGTTAGAGCATAAAAAAGTGTAAGACAACTAAGAATATATTTCAAATTCCAATTAATACGCCCAAATATAATGAATTCAGATATTAATTATAATTATCTATAATTAGTTGATTAATTTCTAGATTAAAGTATAGCAGAAAACCATGATGCAATTTAGAATATGATACTCTTTTTTAAAGATTTTTCAAAGCGGGGTGCTCTATCTATGCTTCTCATTGTTTATTCCAGTCTTTCTCTCTTGACATATCTTCGGCTCTGTCTCAAAATATCATTTTAGGCTACTGGTCTTTTGATTTACCTTGGGCTCAGAGTAGAGTACCACTAAAGATATGGATCAATGCCTTAGAGTTAAACACTACATGTACTAACCACAAGTCTTTAATATATTAAAGCAAATGATTGATATAGGGCAAAAGTATTAAGATTGCTGATGATTACCATTACTCTTCTTTATAAACATAAAATAACATCTACTTATAAATGTGAGTCCCTGTTAAGTGTTTACCAGGTACCTTGTACTATATAAGTAATTACAGAGTTATATTACAATCATCAAATCACTTCATGCATTGCATCATATTTGTTGGTATGCATCTGCTACATCTCTGGATTCAAAAATCTTTTAGGAAAGGAAGAAATGTTTTTGTTCATTTTTAAAAAATATTTCTCTCTATGGTATCTGAAAGAGTGACAAGAACATAGTAAAACTGTACTCACCGCAAGAATCATAAATGAATGAGTTAATATGAGGGAGATTTTAGCTGGATGAGAAATTAGAAGAATTGAAATGCATTTATTTATTAACATAAATATATTTAAAATATTTTATATTTTAAATTAAATAAATATGCATTATTCCAAGTCCAGTGTAGAGCCTAAATTTACAGTGAGGGAGAGTTCCCATAATATATCTACTCAGAAGCAAGAGAAACAAAGGTTCATGGTGGTGAAAAGTAGAATTTCCTCCCAAAATCCCTAGGAGAAAGAGAAACTTTCTGCCTTATCTAATCATTCCTGGTTTTCTTGCTTTTCATATTCCTGGTGGAAAGAAAGCAAATAGAAGAAATTAACATTAATCCACATTTAAGAATTCTTGTGATTACAGTGGACACACTCAGATAATCTCCCTATTTTAAGGTCGGCTAATTAGCAACCACAATTCTATTTACTACCTTAATTCCCTTTGCCACATAATGTAATATATTCACAGGTTTCAGGAACTATAATGTGGACATCTTTGGAAAGCTATTATTCTGTGTACAATATCCAGTAAACAAATGATTCCTTTTCTCTACATCTAATATTTCCGCCCAGAATCTACAAAGCCTCATTGGACTTTTTCACTGTTCAGGTAATGAGTATTTGAGATTACAGATGGTTTGAACACTTAGTTTTTTATGAAGTGTTTATAATCCACTACTTCATCATAGAAAGAGTAAAATTACCCATTAAAAGGATAATATTTGTTATGCTACATTACCAGAAATATTACAATATTTTATAAAACTAATGAGCTGATATTACACACACACACACACACCTATATAAAGAGAAGACAAAGAGATCTTAATGTAAGAGATAAATCCCACTTGGCCCACTGACCAATTAGAGAAGCCATCTATAACAGAAAAGAACCAGAAATGCAAGTAAATCTTGAGACAATTGAGTTAATGACTTTCAGTCTATTAAGTGATAAGCTTTTAAATAATACATATAGGAAACATTTCCTTCCCTGGACACAGGATTCTGTAAAAGCCAACAAGCAAATACTTGCTTGTAATTGTTCTAAGTAGGAATGCATATATTTTAAGTGGGCTTTAATTTTGAAATAGTAAAAACAAACAGAAAAGGAAAAAATATATTTTAATGGAGATTTTCCATTTAAGAGAATAGGGTAAAATTGCTTAGAAGGTGAGCCATCTGATTTTTGCTTTTCATAATCACCTTTGGCACAGTTTTCCCTCGCTTTGTCTAGAACACCTGTATCCTCAGTCAATCCTCCTAGCCCAGAGCTTCTAACTGTACTAGGATTACAGGAAAATGTGTATAGTCCAAAAATTTCATCCAGTAGTTATTAGCAGATCAGCTGTGAAACCAATGCAGTAGTCTCAATGACAAATAACCTCAAATATGTACCCTCCCAGGCATATTTGTGTTTTAAAAGAAGCTTCTTATTTCTTATTTTTAATGGTGGAAATTTTACCCAGTGAAATAGGCACACTGTGGGGATATTATTAAGCAGGAGAGCCTTCCTGTTGCCATATAAATCACCAATTCAAGGGATCTAGATTCTTTTTATTATTATATTTATTTCAGGATATTATGAGGATACAAACATTTTGGTTACATTTTATGTCTTTGCCTCACCCAAGCAAGGATTAGAGGCCTGCCCTTCCCCTCTATAATGCTCACCATGTCCATTAGTTGTGAGTTTACCTCCCCCAATCCCCTAATCCCTGGAGAATATTTCCACCATATAAGCACTATAGTGTTGATCAGTTGGTGTCGATTTGATGGCGAGTATATGTGGAGCTTATTCTTCCTACACCTGCCTGGTCATTTAGCCAGCCAAAGTAGGCTGTAGTAGCCTACTTTGCATCTTTATCTCATTGTTTATCTTAAATCGATTAAATAGTGACTTGGCGAGTGCCAATAGACAAGGCTGTCTTGTGCTTTGATTGAGGATGGTAATATTCATATTCACAATTCAAACTGAGTTACAGTTTAAAAAGTATTTTTAACAAACATCTATTCCTCAAAAATAGTCTTATGATATAGGAATTATTTGCATCAACATTTTATAGGTAAGGAATTTAAAGTTCGAGGAGGTTAAACAACTTACTCAAGAACCCACAAATCAGCAAGTGTTTCCTATATAATGTTAGGGAATTTCCTGCATTGTGTTAGACATTTCACTTATATTGTCAACCCACCCTCACACCATACCAAATGCATCTGCTGTTTGGCTTCTGGAAAATAATCAGGGAGACCCTGTTTGGACACTTTTATTCTAATAAAATGACAATTAGTTTTCTCCTGAAGTCAACCAACTATATTTTGTTCTTCTAAACAAATGATAAAGCATGTCATCTTTAATGTCACACTTTGTGTCTTAAAGATTTTGGAGACACTATGATTCTGAGACTATGTTAGTGGTTTTCAAAAAACATTGGTTGGTTCATGGGCACACGGACTTT